TGTACTTCAGCCAGGTCTCAGGCCCTCGAGGACATGCTAACAGAGGGAAAGCATCAATTGCTGGGGAGTAACAGCCATGGCATGATGGGACTTGGCGAATGTACCCAGCTGCTCTCCGGCTTTGCATTCCTGGCTGCCCGTGGCCTCTGAAGGAAAAAGCGTGCTTACGTTATTTAGATTTCCTGCCTCCGTTGATTCAGGATGTCGTGTCGTGCACGGACGGCTGGCCAGGGATGCTGCTACGGTGTGGTTGACACTTTGGGAAGAACCATGAGACCCAATAGTCAAAGGAGGTCCTAGTGGTATTCATGGTTTATCTCTGACAATGGCAAGGGCCTGGGGACACTCACTATAAGAAATACATTTTACATCAGAAACACACACATAATATATATAAAATAAAAATACCTGAAATTTGCTACATACGGTGCACATGGGCGTTTTCTATGCTGTTTCGTTTAAAGAAGAAATGTTAGTCACATTCCTCTGACCTGATTTTACAACCCACTAATACATTGCAAACTGGTATTTGCAAAATGTTGTTCTTGATAATCCTCCAATGCCCAGAGCTGAGGGCACCGGTTTACTTCCCATTTGATGGCCTTGCTAGAACCTCTTAAACACTGTTTCCTTTATAGGCAGAAAAGAACATTATCCTAGAAGAAAAGATCCAGGTTCTCCAACAGCAGAACGAAGACCTCAGAGCAAGGATTGACCAAAACACAGTTGTCACCAGGTAGGTGGGCTGGGTGTCACCTACAAAGTGGCTTTCCTCTTGGCTTCTTTTTGTTGCAGCACCCAGTTTCCCTCACTCTGGGCTGTGAGTCTTTCCCCGCAGTTTCTTGCTGTTTTCCCCCAAGACCTGAAGAACAAGAGCGTGCCCCTGTGGCCATCTTGCCTATTCCTGGCCACATATCAATGGGCCCCACCTTGGGAGACATGAGTGAATCAGCAAAAGTGTGCAGCAGGGTCCTCCTGCAGCACTGGGAGGGGAAGGGGTTTATTATTGGAAGAGATTAGGAGAGGAGGGCCAGCTGGGTGTTCCCAGGCCAAAAAGAGAGTCACCATTGGTTGATACCGCAACTTCCAGAAATTCACAATTTCCATCCAGGTCTTGCCTGTCCCTGTGGGGCCCCGCTCTGAGGTGCCCCAGCTTTCAAGAAAGAGTGTTCAGGCTCCTCCCTCACACAGCGCAGTGTGCGGATAAAGCAGAGTTTTGGCTTCCTCAGCTGCTCTTCCAAGCGGGCTCAGCCATATCAGTAAGACCCAGGCCCGAACCCTTGCCCACTCAACTAGGCTCCTCAGCATTCACCTGTGGTGTGTTACCGTTGCACACATAACTCGTGCATATGCACACACTCACATGCACTCACACAGGCACTGCATGCTCGCTCACACACACACTTGCGTACTCCCACTCATGCACACTCACTCTCATACACTTATGCACACACACTCATACAATCCTCACACCTATTCATATGCCCTCATATTTGCACACTCGTGCACGCTTATCCCCACATGTACATGCTTATTCTCACATGTACATTCTCACACATACGTATGCTCTTACACACATGCACGAACGGACACACAGCCATTGCCCCCATAACTAAGCCCCTAGTGCGGGCATTTTGTTCTCAGCTCAGAGGCACATAGGAAAGGCTGTGCTGGGGGCAGCAGTCTCCCTTTGCTCCGGAAGCTGCCAAGGTGCCCTGTCAGCAGAGCAAGTGCAGACTTTATCCAACAGAGCTGATTCTTCTGGACCTCGATCTGTCCAGCTTTAAAATGCATATGTACTTGTTCCTGTCAGTTCCTCAAAGGCGCTGTCATTCTTCAAAAATGCAACAAAGCAAGCAACTTAGATTCATTTTTTCACCCACCAGTCTTTATCAGCAAATATTAACTGAGCATCTGTTATGTGCCTGGCACCAGCTGGACGCTGGGGGTTCAGCATGCAGACGGAGCCTTGGCCTCTGTCCTCCGGAGCTCCCAGTCTAGCAGGCGGACACAGACCCCTAGCGCAGCATGTCCATCAGGGGAGGACGCTGCTGTCGTGCAGGCACAAGCCTAGGGCAGGGAGGCCAGGAGAAGGCCCCCCCAGCTTCCCGGCAGGCTCAGGAAGGCCTGCGGCTCGTCGCCGCTCTTGTGCTGTTGTCATTGTGAATTGCCAGCTCCGCGGCTGTCTGTCCTTTCGGAGCCCCTGGCAGCACACCCGCTCCAGCTCTCCACTCCCCTCCTTTCAGTCGCTGGCCTTTGCTCTGTCCAGTGGACAGCCAGTGCCCCCGCTGACCAGGCAGAGGGCCTGTGAGATGATGGCTGTTGGCCAGAGAGGCTCTGGGAACAGGTGTGTCATTGGGCTAAATGGAAATCATGACTCCACCAAAGTTCTTGGTCACTGGGTCGCCCTGGTCCTTGTTCTCCCTGATGGCATCATGGCCTCCTCCCTTTGTCCTGCACCCATTGTCGTGACCTCAGGTTCGGTGTCCACTAGCATGATTGCTACTTGTTTTGTCATTGTGCCCGTGCAGACAACTGTCGGAGGAAAACGCTAACCTCCAGGAGTATGTTGAGAAGGAAACCCAGGAGAAGAAGAGATTGAGCCGAACCAACGAAGAGCTGCTTTGGAAGCTCCAAACTGGGGACCCAACCAGCCCGATTAAACTCTCGCCCACATCTCCCGTTTACCGCGGCTCCTCCTCGGGGCCCTCCTCTCCGGCCAGAGTCAGCACAACACCCAGATGACGCCACTGCGCGGCCTGCGGGAGCTCCGGCTTCTCGTCCTCCAGTCTCCACCCCGAGGGAGCACCGAGCCGGTGCCGCCGGAGCTGGCCCTGTGCGCATGCTCAGTAGCTGCGAATGCATCCTAGGCGCGTCCTCCTCTGATCCCCGTGTAAGACTGCCCTGGTGTCGGCACTTAGGAACGTGTAAATGGTAAAGTCTGATGTGCAAACGTTTTACCATAGTTAGAGCCAAAAGAAAGACACTTGCAATTGTTCTTGAGCAATGAACTTTCACTGCAGAATTTCAGGTTACAAAAAGCTCAGTTTTCAATATACATTGAATAATCATTGTGTACTGCACCGATATGTGTGTATATTTAGATATACGTATATACACATGCTGCGGTTCTCAATTTCATTTTTTATAATATGAAGTGCTGACATATTTTAGTGACGGTCAGCAGTTTTCTAACTTGTGCCTAAGAATTATTGGGAAATGAAAATGCATTTCTATCTAGCTTCCCAGGAATATTTCTACCCAAAATAGAAAAAGGAAAAAAAAATAAAAAAGATACAGAGAAGAAGCGCCTTTCAACTCACCACCAAGTGGTGCTCTCTTTAACACGAACACCAGCTATTTGTGAACGGTAACTGCCTTTGGAACAATCAGCTTCTTAGTCAACATGATGTGAGATCACTATTATTCCATTCGCAAGTTTTCATTATCGAGACTCCTGTCATGAGCGGCTGAGGGAGAGCAGTGGGAAACCCGAAGGGGGTTTAACAGTTCTGCAGACGTTTCTCATGACAGTGACTCATCTCTAACAGTCTTGTAAACACAGTTTTGCTTTTTTCCTAAATGGCATCTCAGACTCGGTCATTAAGCTATTGTTGCACAATCCGGAAAACAGGTTGCACCCTCCGGAAAACCTTTGAGAGAGAGTGAGGATGACCCTGGAGATGACAGCGCCCATTCGCGCTCCATCCTCATGAAGGAACTTGCTGCTAGGGTCTGTATTTTGATCAGGCACAGAGGGGGACGGCACTCCAGCTTGCCATGTGGTTCACTCTGACGCGATGCCGTAAATGATCAACTCGTTGAAATAGGACCCTCAGGCCCCCATTTCATAGCAGCCCCCACTTCAGTTTGGTTCTACAACTCAGCCCCTTCAGTGCACACTGAGATGGCTCAGGGGTTCTGGCAGGGGCTTCCAGAAAAACACACCGTTTCTATCCCTGGGGAACCAGTTCTGAGCTGTGCTAGATCATCACACGACCACCCAGAAACCCACTTCCACCTCCTGCTGGATGATCAGCCAACGCTGCTGCTGACCGTGCGCCCATCTTAGACCCAGAAGGTTCTCCCAAACAGAGGAGCCCAGTGAAACAGCCAGCCAGGGGCCACCAGCTCCTGGACTGGCATCTGTCTCTAAAATGGTAGAATTAGGATATGAACAGTACTCATGTAGTGGTGCGGAAGATTAGGAGCATGATACACAAAAGAAAGAAGTAGTTTTAACATATATGGTGATGATGATGATGCGCTTGTTTCCTGTATGCGACAAAGACCCTGCACTTTCTCCCTGAGGCCCCCCCAAAATTGTCCTGAGCACAGGCCTGTCTTTGAGTGTGCCCAAGGCGAGAAGAACCATGAGGGGATCCTGCAGGGGCCAGAGCCATGGAGCAGGGAAGAAACAGCCAGCGGACGGAGTCGGCTTGCCCAGGGCGCGCCTACGCGGCACACGTGTGGCCAACATGAAGGCAGACATGGTCCCTGGCCCTAGCCTGAGTCCAAGCTGAGCTTCCGGGCCTCGGGTACATCTCCAGCAAACCTCCAAAGGTCTTGCTCCTTCTGGGGACATACACAGTAAATCCACATGGAAGTGCCACCATTTCTCTTTGCTTTAGTGGCTCTGCATGATACTGTGATACTGAGTTGGGCATTCCATTAGAGTAGATCATGCCACATTGACTAAGTACACAATCATTTATTCTTGTAGCAGGCACAACCTGCAAACACACATTCGGTTCAGCTTAGCTGCCCGAATTAGGAACCGCTTACATAGCCGCACCTGCTAAACGCAGTTACACAGCAATACCGACTTCCGTGTGATGCTAGAACGTGGTACAGTGTGTTAGGCTGCTGTGGTCAGAGTTGTAGCATTGTTAGCACTAAGTAATTCCTCATTAGGTGGACTTTGGTGAGAGCTTTACCCTAACCCACCCTGACCTTGGGTACTTGAGCTAATTTCCACATGGCCCTGGCTTCGTGTTTTCTTTTTTTTTTTTTTTTGCTTTTTCTTTCGTTATGGACACCCATCGTGTATGGCTCCTCATCTGAGCCATCACTGCTCCAGAAACACATGGGGCAGCAGCTGCTGTGCCTCCTCCCCGATTCTTCCACCCCCCACACCATCAGAATTCAGATTTCTCTCCACGTGGTGTCTGCCTCTGTCCCTTTCCAGGCTGGAGCGACATTTCCATGTTCAGATGCTGCAGCCTCTGCACCTGCCTCAGACAGACCCACCAGGTACCACCTGTCTTTTTGTGGCATTTGGGGGATGCATGGGCGGCCTGCCCCCCACCCCCGCCCCTGCCCGTCACATGCTGGGACAAGGTTCTGGCTGGATGTTAGAACGGATGGGGGTGGGGACAGCCCTGGCAGTGATTGGTTGAATGAATGGGGTCACAACATCCCTTTTCCTGCCCCTACAGTTTGTGTTGCATATTTGTGTTTAACTCTAAAGCCTATTAAAATAAACTTGAGGGACTTTCTGCGATACCTACTTGATTTAACTGGAGTCCTGTCCCTCTCAGGCTGGGGATTCCAGGCAGGGAGGCAAGTTGGGGGGTGGCATTTGCAGGCTGGACCCCTTTTCTGTGTGTGCTGGGATTGGGTGATCGTCCATGCGAGAAGTCTAGAGACCCCCTCTCCCCTGACTCAGCAGGTCCCAGGTCCCTGCGCCCACCCTTCCAGCCTGGGGGCTTGAGCAGCCCCTCCCCTGGACATGGGAGCGCAGTGCCTCTGCTCTGCAGGGCTGGGGTGTGCTGGAGTTGGCTGGAAAGAGAACACAAAAGGTCATTCATTCATTTCAACCTGAAAGTGCTTGCTCCCCCCATCCCGATGGCCTTCAGTTTGGGCTGCAGCTGGTTTAGCCAGCTGGACCTCAGAGTGTCCCACAGGTGCCTGGCACTGGTCACAAGGGAGAGAGCTGGGCTCGCAGGTTCCCTGTGGTGGTTTTGCAGGGTGTGTGGGAGTGGCAGCTATTTTAGGGAGATCAGCGAGTCCCTCCTGAACAAGTACTGAATGACAGGCCCTTTGTAGAGGACACACAATTCCCTTCGGGACCTCACAGGAAACATCCCAGGGCCACCTCTGGGTCATCCAGGCCTCCCAGGGTATCGATGGCAATCTAGTTATTAATAATCTACCTGGCCACGTGTCCTAACCCGTTTGTTTCTTCTGGGGTATCTTGAGCACCCTTCACTTTCCTAATGACCCCCTCCCCTTGTCCTTACCCACCTTATGCGGTAAACAAGGCAGATGGCAGCACCTCCACATAACAAAGGAGCAAATGGGTGCCAGCCACCCATATGAGCAGGTGGTGAGATTAGAGCCAGCTTTCCACTGTCCGTGAAGAATGGTGGCCCCTTCCATGGCCAATTTGCAGTAGGCAGAGGAGACTCTGGAAGTCAACTCACTCACTGACCTCCTCTGTGCCAAGGAGCCTTGAGAGCTTGGCTCTCCCTGCGTGGGAGACTTGTATCCCCCTAGCAAGAAAAGAGTTATGGAGTTAAGCACAGGTGGAAACCAAATGGTTGGACAGCTTTCCACCTGCGACTGGAGTTGAAGGATGGTCTCAAAGCCATTGCTGCACCAGTGTGTACGCTTTGGGCAATGACCGGGATTGCACCATCACCTCATCCATGACCACCAAGCGGTGAGGATCCTGCCCACGTGAGTCTGTCAAATGCTTAAATACACACACCTCCCCCCCCCGCCAAAATCCCGAAGGCTGGTAAGTCATTCTGGTGGTTAAGACAGAGCATGTTAATTCACTTAAATTAAATTTGCTAAATACGTTTTTGTGAGCCAGTCTGCATCTCTCAAACTTCTTGCCCCAAACCTCATAAAATACAACCAAGACAGACATCTGGTGTTTCTGACGGCCAGGCGTGGGTCACTCACTGCAGCGTGATGCAGGCCAATCTTTCTCGCTCACTACGTCGGGAAGTTTTCTCCAGGGCCAGAGCCAGGCAGGGTCGGGAGGCCCTGCAGCTCTGAGCTCAGGTGGCCCTGCCCCTTGAGTGTGTACAGACCTCCTGGGTGCCCATGCCTTCTCCCTCTAAGGCACTCACACCACAGACACAAAGAGAGCCCCTGCCACGCAGCTGCTGGCTCTGCATAGCGGCTTCTCACATGACTGCACCACCAAATTCACACAGCAGGCACTGGGCTTCGTCCCTCCTGCACTGTGGGAACAGCGGTTCTGAATCGGTTGGCACTCAGGTGCATTGTTTTAAGGAGTAGAATTTAAAAGCATCCATGGCAAAGTCCCACCCAGCACAGCTTTTTCTTCCCCACTGTCCCAATCCACTGGGATTAAGTGCTTGGCCACACCAAAAGCCAAAAAGCTGTTCTCCTCATCTGCAGACATATTGCCTGTTTCATTCCTGAAGACTTCTCTTCGCATTGTGTTTTCTAAATGGCTGTATTTATGGCTGAGTGGACAGGCTTCATTTGGTAACACTGGTGTTCCCTTTGAACAGGGCTTGATGGGATTGATTACCTGTAGTTGGTTTCAGCCCTCCCCGCTGCAGCCTCAGACCCTGCCCAGGTCTGTGTGGTGTAAGGGCTGGGCTGAAAGCTGGGTTGGAAGCCAGGCTAGCACCCCAGGCCATGGCTCCACAGGCTTCCTTGTTGCTGCGAATGCTGTTTGGGGGCAGCTTTTGAATGACCAGAGGTGCTTCATAACCAAACTGTGCAAGGGAAAACTTTCTCCAGGTGGTGCCCCTCAAGCCTCCAGCCTGGCATCGCCCCACCGGTCAGGGTTTTCGAAGAAACTGCTGAAAGACTTGGCATGGCCTTTTCAAGCTGCCTGTGCGGCACCAAGCAGTAGCCACTAGGTGGCAGTGTGGCGCTGCAGGAACTGGGGTCCACCTTGCACTTGGCTCAAAGTCATCCTTAGGGACCAGAGGTCGCCTTCCTACAGGACACATACAAAAATCCAGGAACAAGGTATGTCCCGTGCTTATTTCCCAATTCTGGAATCTATCAGGCTCTCTGGGCCGCTTTGCGAAGCTGGCCCCTTTTGTGAATCAGCTTCTGCATCAGCAGAACCTCCCGCAGTAATTACGCTGGGCCAGAGACCACGCCCACCCTGTGTCCCAGGGGCACGCTGCGCAGTCTTGCTTCCCCACCGGGCAAGCTCTGTGGTCTGGCTTTCTGTGTGGCCAAGGAACACGAAATGTGCATGATGCTCTCAGGTGCAGATGCTCGTCACACATTCCAGATCACAGGCACTCTGGGGCCAGGAGAGCAGCTTGCCTGCCCTCCCCTCCGCACAGCTCCCTGGGTATCTGCTTTCAGCACCATCCATCAGCTGACAAAACTCAAAGGTCAAACCTTATCTTCCGGGCAGCAGATCTTCTGGTAGAGCCGCTGTGAATCCCTGCCTTTTACTGTCTGGGAATTAAGACCCACTTGACTACATTTGCCTCCAATGCAAAAAAATGGATCCTTTCTCAAGGGAGTTGAGGGAGTGAGAGAGTAACAATTACCAGGATAGCTACACTCCCCACAGCCCCTCTGCCCTGCATACACTCTGCTCCAACAGGATGGGGTGTGTCAGGATGGTGTGTGTGTCAGGATGGGGTGTCAGAATGGGGTGTGTCAGGATGGGGTGTCAGGATGGTGTGTGTGTCAGGATGGGGTGTGTCAGGATGGGGTGTGTCAGGATGGGGTGTGTGTCAGGATGGGGTGTGTGTGTCAGGATGGTGTGAGGATGGGGTGTCAGGATGGGGTGTGTGTGTCAGGATGGGGTGTGTGTGTCAGGATGGGGTGTGTGTGTCAGGATGGTGTGTGTCAGGATGGGGTGTCAGGATGGTGTGTGTCAGGATGGTGTGTGTGTCAGGATGGGGTGTGTCAGGATGGGGTGTGTCAGGATGGTGTGTGTGTGCAGGCCAGCACAGGCTGCGGTGGCAATGGGCGAGGGCGGTTTGTTGCCGGAGACCAAGTCTTTCCGCAAATGCCTGACAACTGACAGCCTCTGAGCTGCTTTACCCCAACAGCTTGGTTGGAAAGAAGACATCTGTGGCCCCAAAGCCAAATAAATCTGCAGACAGTATCAGAGCATCCAAAATGGGGGCTCAAGGGATTCTCTGGTTGAGGCTCAAATTGTTGGAATAAAGATTTCCCCCAAATGGCTACAGGAAAGAGAAGATGGGACTAAAGTCATGGGCTGTGGGGAAGCAGAGCGGGATCTGGACCCACGCCTGGGTCCCAGCAGAGACCCGCCAGGATTCTTGAGATCACGCCGTGCACATGGAAGCCACAGAATTTATTAGAATTTGCGGAAGCGCGAGATAATGTACCACAAAATAGTTTGATTTTACAACATAAAAGAAGTTGTCAATGTACACAGGGTTGTTAGCAAAAAGGGGAGGCAGGGCAGTTTCACATGTTTTGAAAGGTGGTGGACGACAACTACACTTGTCCTTAAAGGAAAATAAAAGCAGGAGAGACCCAGCAGAGACCAACCTGATTTGCAGTTAGCATCGGAATCTAAATCTAGTATCACAACTTTAAGAAACTCTAAGAAAACTACTAGAAAAATAGAACATCAAACAAGCAAAAAAATATACAAATGTACATAATAAAAAACATACAACTCTTAATAATGGCTCCATGTTCAGTAGAAGAAAACATTTACCGGAGAAACCACAGCTATTCAGGTTTGATAATAAACCAACCCTCATTGGTATCATTACCCTTAGTGCTCCTTAAACTCATTGAAGCTGAAAGGCACAACTTAAGCAGGAAACTTATCTTAAATATATATTATAACTTCTCAAATGGGAAAATAAGTCCCAAACTTAATAGCTTGTCATCAAGAAACACAAAACCATTTGCCTTGTTAATAAATTAACAGTCTGAATGCATCTTTCCATCCCTGCTTCCTGACCCTGCTGGACACACTAATAAATACCCTGAGAAAATCTTCTCTTTAAGCTTGGCCAAGGCACTCCATCTCCTGTGGGGCTTTCAGCTGGCACTCAGCACATTTGTAGAATGACCCAGGAGGGCTCCATGGTAACTGTGCCCCGAGACTCCAGGCCCAGCCGGGTCCCGATGGCGAGAGCATTGTGGCTCAGGGATGCACTGGCACAGAAAGGCTGGACTCGAGGAATTGAGGGGTGAAGATGGAGTCGGCTGGCATTTTTTGCCTTAAAAAAATCCATTAGGAGTCATAAGCGTGATGACACATGGAGTGTAGCTTCTCGCACCACTGGATCAACAGTAATCAATTTCATGACTCAAACAAAGTCCACAGGAGCCTGGCAGAATGTACATCTCCCTCTCCCTTAAGAGTCTTACATATAATCTTATGACGATGGCAAACAGATATATCTTAAATTACACATAACAATTATACATAACATATATCCAGATCCGTCTGCCGGCGAACTCTGCAGCAGTTCCACATACGAGCCTCACAGCCCCGCCACCCAGCAATTTCCCCGTCCTCGGAACTGTGTTAGGAGACCAGCAGCGCACGGACACAAACATGCCTCTCACGCACCCCAGAACACAGCTGTGCTGGGCTTGGGCACAAAGGCCCCTCACTCCCTGTCTTCACGGTGTGGGTTCTTGGGTGCCAACAGAACTGTCAGCTTTTATTAAGAAGGAAGGGTCTGCGTAAAAATGCGACGTGTGAATCAGAAGAGGGGCCCTGGCACAGAGCCAGGCGGGCTTGCTTTAGCAGTGAGTGCTGCGTCACGCAGTGCCCAGGACCTTGCCTATAAGCCTGGGTGAGGCCCCTGTGGGGCATGTCCACGTGCCCCCCACCAGGACTCATTGCTCTGTCTCCAGTCTCCACCATGGGTTGGGCTGGAGGCCACACCACGTGGGACTGCGAACACCAGCCAGTTCACAATGCCTGCTCGCGGCAGGGGCACGGCAGGGAGGAGCTGGCATCATCAGATTTCCACCCGTCTGGACAAAGGTGGGCGGGCCATGCACCCTTCCAGCTGTGCACATGGATGTGCTGACGGCGCAGGAGGGAGTGCGTCAGGGCCTTGGTGACTGGGGTAGGTGGAGAAGCCCACTGAGCCCACCGTCCTGCGGTCACCCCTGGCTTCGTATCAGCTCTTGGCCCCTGTACTACAGTCAGCACAAGGGACCAGGGAGCTGGCTGCCTGAGAGAGAGAAAAGAAGTTGCAGTGGAGAGTTTTTCCTGCTGCAAAAACCAAAAGTGGGGGGAGATCTCAGCAATTCTAACAGTATACATTTAGCGACCTTTCCGAGACAGCCTGGGGAAAATGCATCTATCACTCTGTCCTCTTCATTTGGAAAATTAAATCCGCTGCACAAAGCCTTGGCCAAGGGGGTGTGAGCAGGGATGGTAAGCAGAGTGGGGGGCATGCAGAGGCCTGGTCTCCTCCGGACGGCGCTCCTCCCCACTGCAGAGCTGCCCTCCTGTAAGCCGGCTCCTGAGCCAGCCGCCAACAAGGCCCCCGCTGCCTCCCTGGAGACCCTCTTCATCCCTGTCTTCAGCAGAGGTCCTGAGGCAGGCGGGCTGGGGATCTGCTGGGTTTGCTGCTTCATGAATTCGGGCCTTCAGAGGTCATGAACACATGCAGGGCAGTCACGGGGGTTGTGGCAGACAGGAAGGGATGTTTACCCATCACATATGGGTCTTTCCAATGAGGGTATTTATTTGTGGCTGGTGCGCAGATAAAAGTAGACACAATACTCCCTTGGCGGGTGTGCCTCTAGTAATGTGTAAGTTCTGACTATGTAGGAAAATCCTGGCCAGCGGAACTAAGAATATTCTTGTTTGGGCAAGGGAACTAAGAGATGTGAAACTATCAATGTGTTTGCTTGTATTTTTATTTCAGGGAAAGAACTGAGGGATGTGATAAGAAAAAAGTCTATTAAAATTGTGAGGCTTACTCCAGACACCATTGCTTAAATTACTCCCCTCGCACACAGCAGAGAAACCCCCTGGCAACTGCACAAAAAACTACTCATAAAAGCACGGTGACCAGTGAACTATTATGCAAGGCACCTCCACGTGTCCTTTCCTAACCAGGAAGCCCGTCCTCTAAGGAGGGGGCGCGGGGGGGTCCCATCCCTGCCGAGCCTAGGCGTGCTTCCGCATCGAGCTTTAAGGCCTCTGCGTGAGGAAGGCCACAGACTCCCAGCTGTCAGTGAGCCCTCATGATGAGACGGAGCAGGGGAGACACACCTTCTCAATCTACAGAATGATTCACGGCGCCCACTGAAACGTCAAACGTCAACTCTACATAGTCTATTGGGTGCTGTCTTCACAGAAATTTCAGCCAGAAAGAAAAACTAGAGAAAAAGAAAAAACAAAAAAAAGCAATTCTCTCCTACCACTTCACTTTTCTTGGAGACTGTCTATCCCTTGAGTTCTCTTTGCTTATGTAGAAAATAACGGAAAAAAAAAAATCAAGCAAATAACTACCAGGTCCTAAGACAAGAGACAACCAAAACCCCAACAAAATAAGTTAGTATTTATCAAAATATGTTACAGCACCAATCTATATAAATGTCAATACCTCTCTTTGGAAATCGGAGCTTTGGGCTCTTTTGATGCTCCCTCTGGACCATTCAAAATGACATCAGAATAAAGCTCCCAGCAAAGTGAGCAGGCCTGATACGGAGGCCCAGCCCATGGCTGCCCACCTGCCCTCCACTGGCGTGTTCACAAATTCTTGCACTTCTCTCCGAGAATCTTCTGGGGGCACAGGGAGGACACAAGTGCCCTCAATTTATCAGGCTTCTACCAGATTTGTATCAAAGGCCAGACTAGGAAGAAATGGAAAGGAAACTAAGTTTTGAAAGCAACATTTCCATTTCCCCTGGCGTCCAAAATGCCTACCTCCCTTTCCCTGCCCCATCAGCATGGGCCTTCTGTCTCCTGAAGTCGACTCTCAATGGAATGCTCCACCCACGTTCAGGTTTCCTCTGGCTTCCATCTACAAGGAGTGTGCGTGAAATGGTGTTGGCCGCAGGCCCCGACCCGGGCAAGACAGGCCGGGGTGGAGTGCATTGTAGCTATGGGGGCGGGGAGGATGCTCGGGTCTGTCCCACTTGTGGAGGCGTGGGGTACGAAGCATCCGGATGACAGATACACAAAAGGGACAGCAATATGCCTGGAAATCATCTCCCCTACGAACCACACATCTCAGCAATACGCCAGCCACAGGGGTGATGACGTGGTCATTTCCACGTTCATGTTATGCCCTAACTTAATCTGGGGGAGTGAGTCACAATTTCATGGACTGCAGATTGATTTCAATTTCATCACGTCACAGAGAGGCCAGACAGCTCATGTCAGGGCCAGAAACGCATGCCCCCGACATGTCCTAAACCCGCACTGAGCTGCCACCAACCTTGAGAACTTTCCAAGAGCCACCAGACTGGCTCCAAAGCATGGGAGGGTAAGACTGAGCGAACGGCGGCGACGCACAGGAAACACGCTTCTAACTCGGCCGCCGTGAGGCCAGTCCTGCAGATACAGTCTCATGTTCCAGTTACTCAGGACACAGCCAGTCAGAGAAGACGGCAGGAGCAGCAAGAACTGGCCCAGGCCTGGAGGCCACGAGCTGAGGAAGGTCCCTGGTTTACACACGTGTGCACACACAT